GAAATTCTTGTTCAAGTATTTGAGTTTCTGTGGAGCTGTTTTTTAAGAAAAGCTGTAGACTAGTCTACAGGAATTCTAGTAGCCCATTTCCCCAGAGAGATGGAGTGGCTTTTTTCTATCTATACATTAATATTTAAGAGTATTTATGCTTTTTTTTTTTTGGATTCCACACACAAGTTATAGCAATCTCGTGTTTTTATCATCTTTAATCACCTTCAGTCATTGGTATAGTGCCAGTCAAGATATCAGTTGAAGCAACTGACTTTGAAGTGGGTTAGCCAAAGACTTCAGGTAGTCATTCTGGCTCTAGATTCTCAAGGCTCTCCTCCTGTACTAAATTAGATTATCAGAAAAGTATATGTCTAACTTCCCTCAGAAATAGTAAGAACAACAGTATAATACTGTGCCTTCATTTTGTTGTTGTTGTTACTATAAGAAATGGTCATTCCAAGACTGAAATTTCAATAAAATTCAGTTGAAGATGCTACTTATATGATTCAGCGCTTTTCATAGAAAGATCTATGTGAGAATTCTTCTGCTAATATAGTACTAGAAAGATTTTATCCTTTATAACATACTTACATATGTCCTTTCATTAGTTAGTGAATGCTACATGACCCTTCACATTTTTCTGGCTGTCAAAAAGCTCAGAGATAAGTTTTATGCATCATAATCAGTAATGCTCTTTTTTTTTTAAGCTCAAGGTAAATTCCATTCTTTAATCTTTGTCTCAGTCATTTTACTGGATCTATGCTATCTTCTGTTAGTAGTCTCAGATACTCTTATATTATCTAATAGTCTTTTAGATAGTATAAATGTTAAATAAATAAATATATAAGGTTTCTCGTTTTTAATTATCTGCTTGTATGTATAAATATTTTCTTCCAGCAAGTCAGTTTCTTAGAGACAGGAACTCACCTTTTCTCACCTGCTACATCCTTTCTGTGGCTGTCACAGGGTCCTGTAGGCAGTCAGGGCTCAATAAGTAATTAGTGATTAATGGTATCAAATCTAATTAATTCAGCCAAAATAGAAGTTTTGTGATCTAACTTTTTTTTAAAAAACTACTTGTAAAGGTAAGCTACTATATTAATAAATCTTAAGACTGAAAACAAACACATGAAATTATGTTTAACATCAAAACAATAAAAAAATACAAATCAAACTATTAAACTACTGTTCTTGAACAGTATCATTAGCAAAGATTTCTTTTAATGATAAGCTGCTGGCAAGCATCTTGACAAATAAATGGAATTCTAATCAGTAGAGGTGAGAATGAACAACCTTTCTAGAAGAAAATTTGGCAATAAGAGTAAAAAACTTCCAAGATGCTTATATCTTTGATACTGCAATTGTATTTATCCTATGAAACAAGAGATGTGCCAAAAAACAAATCATGTTTAAGGATCTTTTCATAGTATAACTTACAATAGTAACAAAATTATAAATAACTGTCAAACAATAGAAGAGTGAAAATTGGTACAAATGTTACAATTTGGCAACATTTACAGATAACCCTCTATCTAGCAATCCTTTTTCTAGGAATTTACCTAAAAACAATATGTGAAGTAGCATATATAAAAGGATATTATGTCAGCATTATTAAAAATTTCAATTGTATGGAACTGGATAAGTGAAACTTAGAACCTTTATGTGGTGGAATACTAGGCAGCTATTAACTTGGTGTTATAGAAGAAAATTTATTGAGATAGAAAAAGTAACACAGTAATTCTCTGAGGTATAAATACAATTTACAAAACAGAATTTATGGGATGTAAGCACTTTTTAAAATAGAAACTGTTAACACTTAGGTATGCCAGTGTGCTTGTATGTACTTTTCAAATTGTCTGCAGTGAACAAGTAGTACTTTTTTAAAATCAGAAAACCTAGCCAAGTCTGCATTTATGATTTTAATGTCTCAGCCTAGAAGCAGCAGCTGACAATAAAATGGCAGACCCTTCAGAGGAAAGCTGTTCTCTAGGTATGAGTCAGGCACTTTACAGAGTCATCTGAATAATACCAGGAAGCTGGGGCTACTGAGACAGAAGGCTTCCATTATCCCAGGGCCTACACACCAATCCGTGTTTGCCAGCCCTAATCACTAGAGTTCGACACATCATTCATGGTGTATCCATCAGAGAGTCTCGTAAGCTAGCAAAAGGCTCTCTCCAGAAAAGAGCTCTATGACTGAGGCAAGAGGATGCAGGAGAAAATGGCCTTACCATGTTCTCAGGGTGGGTGCTGCACCCCAGTAAGTGGGCCTCCACCTTACAAAAAAGGTGTAAGACATAGTGTTTTGCTTTCTGGCTTATTTTGCAAATTAGATGCACAAAACAGTACTAAGAGGTCTGAAAAGAGCTAATGTTGCTGGCCAAGTCTCAAATCTAATCCTTTATTCAATTTAATGTTACTGAGCACTGTAACAGTGCAGGGACCTATGCTAAATGATGTGGAGTATACAGGAGGCATACTAACATGCAGGAAGCATCCGCTAGAAGAAGGCCAAGCTTGAACTTCTCATTCTTGATCGCATGCATCCTACCAGTCACCCTGGGTGTTAACGTGATCCTCTTCTAACAGATGAAATAGAGGCACAGAACAGAAGTAGAATTTGCCTAAGTCCAAATACTAACTGGGGAAGCTAAAATCTGAACTCCATGTTTTCACCACTATTTATCAATGTACCAGTATCTAACTTAGAGGTTTACAAGTCATGCATCCAAATATCTTTAAAAAGAAGAAGAAGAAAAAAGGAAATGTCCTGTAAGTTCATTTCAAACCTCTAGTGGAAGGCAAAGGAAAGAGAGCGCCTCTTCCAGAATTGCTGGAGGAAAGTCTTCACAAAAGGGAACAGCAGCACATAAACCAGACCGTGGAATTTCCTTAAGATTCCGACAGGATGGCAGCAAAGATGTACCAGTAGTTCCCAACAGCAAGAGCAAAGGCACAGAAGTCGGACCCAGAGGCTGTGCCTGAGAAATGGCGACGGCCGTGGGGTGCCAGGAGGCTGAGCCAAGCCTTAGAGAGGCCTGAATTTATCCTGTGGAAATTTTTGAGTAGAGAACAGCACAATCACAACTATGCTTTAGAATGTTTACTTAGAAATATTTGGTCCAGTTGGTGTTCCCCCCACCCCTACCTTTTAAGTTCATAAGGAAATTTTGATCTTTGAAGAGCAAATAATGGCCATCTTGAAAAGTCAGGATTTGTGTGTGTGTGTGTGTTCTTTTTTAATTTGTAGTATGTAGATTTCCTTAGCTAGGTTCTTAACTACAATGTAAATTTGACTGTTTAAGAACTCACTGTCTGATCCTCACGTATTCGTCTTTCATTGCAGGCCAATGTTATTTTCCCATTCGGCAAATTACTTCAGTACAGCAAATGTGGATTGGTTGCTAAGATACTGCAATCAGCTCAGCTTGGTTAATGAAGAATATGGATATTGATGAATGAGTGGGTCCATCAGCGTCCCCCTTAGGGGCTGTGTCATTGTAACCTCACCATTCATTGAAATCAGCTCAAGTAGATGCATGTTTTAGGGTGGGAAGCCAGCCTAACTGACCCAAACCAGCAGAGACTAAATTTGGAAACAGAAAAAACAATTCGACGTGAACATAAAGAGCTAGAAAGGTGAATATGGCCTGCTTTCTTTTTTGTTGTAATTCTTCAGTGCTACCTGACAATCAGTTGAATTTAATATAACCCCCTGGGAAGCACATTTTCTTTCTAAGCAGGAAACAGTAAAATGTCAGAAGAACATAAAAGGCAGCTTACACCTGGAAGAGGAAAGACAGGTATGCTTCTAGAAAGAACACCTGAGTTGAACCCTGAGAATTAAGCAGTTGGCACTGCTTATCTGTTAACTTTTCTTTATTCCCAGCAAAGAACTGCAGCTTAGGAACATGTTGAAAGTCCTCACTCAACTTTCCAAAGGAGATTATGAGCACCACTGCTAAAAATGAAAGTCAAGTAGCAGTAGAAGGTGCAATGACCAGTTTTGATCAAGACCCAAGAAACAGGACAAGTGACTGTTCCTCTCTGTCCCGTCTACCTCCCCCTGACCCACTCCCAAGCTGAGATCGCACCATCTCACACCTGAATCCCTTCACAGTCGCTGCTCATCCACCATTCCCGACTGTGATGACTCCCTACTTCCTACTGCTCTGGATTTTCAAGCAGTGTCCCAAAGAGCACTTAAGTATGGTGAACAAGTCTCAAGGGTAGACCAGGGGTCATGCCATTGAGAGGTGTGTTCTACACCCACTCCTCCACTCAGAAGTCATCATATTCATCTATTTTGTTCACTGAGCTTCCACTTAAGATTTCTTTAAGAGAAAAGGCTTTCATCACCAAAAGAAGTTTGAGAACCATTGTTGTACATCACTGCAAGCCTGAATTCACATGTTTCATCATCTGGCCCACTGGCTTCACCAGCCTCGTTTCCAAACCTCTCTCCTGCCCATTGTTTCTCAGTATATTCATTCTCTTCCACGCTGCCTCCAAGTCATAAAGAACTGTTAGGACATTTCTTTGACTCTTGGCCGTATCTTTCTTGCATCCATTTCTGATGTACTTTTCATCTCTGTAAGTCTTATCTGCCCAGTGGACTAAAGGCTTGGGGTGAGGTGGGGACCCCACCTGCAGAGACATTCAGCACTCACTCACACATGGGATCCTCACTCATGGCTCCTTCCTACCTCCCTGCTGTTGGTGACACGTTCCTTCACCCAGTTCAGCTGCCCATTCAAGACACTGAGCCCTCTTTTTCTTTTTTTTCTTTCTTTCTTGTGTGTGTGTATGTGTGTGTGTGTGGTGTTCGGTGGTTTTTTTTTTTTTTTTTGAAGTATAGTTGATTTACAATACTGTGTTACTGTGTTAGTTTCTGGTGTACATCATAGTGATTCAGCTGCACATATATATTCCTTTTCATATTCTTTTCATTATAGATTATTACAAGTTATTGAATATAGTTCTCTGTGCTATATAGTAGGACCTTGTTTAAAAATACGGCACGTTTCATAGATTTGCATGTCATCCTTGTGCAGGGGCCACGCTCATCTCTGTATAGTTGAAATTTTAGCATATGTGCTGCCGAAGTGAGCACTGAACCTGTCTTTCTTGAAGCTCACCTCCTGCCTCTCTCAATCATTTCTGAGGCTCCAGTCTGTTCTGACCTCCCCTCCTCAGGACTAATGCACATCTAGGCAGTACTCCATGATTTAGCTTGTAATCATAACCTGCCTTGAATTGTTCTCCAGTTGTTTCAGGTGTTATATTTGTCTCCTGCGACTGAGCTGCAAGCTCACTGAGGCAATGGACTGATCTTAGAGTTTTCAGTAAAAGCAGATGTCATGTTTGCTTTTGGCAAACTACACTCAAAGGTCATTGGATGAGTCAACTCCTCCTTAATTCCAACTGAAGATAATTTTGTCTGTCTGTTTTGAAAAGCCAACCCCACCTTCATGTTCAGTGCTGCAAATAACTGTTATAAAAGTCATGACCATGTATATAAAACAGTATGTTTTAAAATGAGAGCCACAGCACTCTTAACCCAGTTTCCATCCTGATGAGGTTTTTGTAGTTGCAAATAACAGAAACATAGTCGCACCAGGCAAACACATAGCAGGGATGCTTGTGTGGATTCAGGGGAGCACACAGAATCCACAAACAGCAGATGAAGTGATGTTTGGTCCTTCCCAGAACCACAAGTGTGAAGTAGAAATTGACCACACTGCCTCACTCCCCCGAGATCGCAAAGTCCGCCTTTCAAGCCAGGGTAGTTCCAGTTCCTGGGGCCTCTCTGCACCCACTCTTCTCTGTTTCCTCATGACTTCTCAGCTCCCCTGTGACTTCAGAATGTGACATAGATACATGCCTCTTCCAACAGCCCCAAATCCTGCGCAGCCTTTCAGTTAAGGACCAGCAACTCTCCATCCCAGGTCCCACAGTTCAGATTTTAAGAGAGAGAATCTGATTGGCTCAGCTCAGTCCAGGGCTGGGATCCCCTTTTGTCAGGCGTCCAGTAGGGAAGAAGGAGGCATGTTGTTAAAACTGAAATTTAAGGGAAAGATTCTTATTAAATGGGGGTATGTCTGAGAGGCAAGAACTGGTCTCTTTAGTGACATTTATTATTACTTGCAACACATTAAAGTGTGTCATTGGATCCCTCTGATTTTACTACTTCTGTTTTCCAAATATGCTATTTTCTCAAAAAGTGCTCCTAATTTCAAAGTTCAGGGACAGAAGGAAATCAGCAACCTGGAACCCACCTGAGTTAAACTGAGTGTGTCTAGTCAGTCAAAACTGAAACCAATAGGGTCTCTCAAAAAGCCTCTGTATCAATCCTCTTAAAAATCCCCTAAAATTTATACAGATTCAAACTGCGTCCAAATTGAGATACTCTCCTAAACTAAGGAGCTTTTATTCTATTATTTGTATTTAAGTCTATTAAAAATGCACAGGGAACTAGGTTCAATACCACAGGGAACTATGCTTAATATCTTATAATAACCTTTAATGAAAAAAATATGAAAACGAATATAGTATGTATATGCATGACTGGGACATTTTGCTGTACACCAAAAATTGACACATCGTAACTGACAGTACTTCAATTAAAAAAATTACACGCACACACACAAAATGCAATTTCCTCTGGTTCTCTCAGAAGAATTTCACTTACGTGTTCCATGAGCTTCCCCAGTGAATATCATTATATCATGGGGTTTGACTGCTGGACAACGCAGTGTTTGGTTTAATAAAGAATACTATAAGATACGAGATTAGTGTCTGAAAAATCAGCCCTTTTTTTTCAGGTGAAAATTTCCAGAAAGCAGATTTTTAAAAAATTCTGTCAGGCTTTGAGGTTGCCAACCTTATTTCTACCTAAAAAATAATAAGCTAAAAAACTTGTTGTCATATCATAGCATTATTGGCCTATGGTACTTCATTCTGCAATTTTTAACATACAAATTTTCCCATAAGGCCAAAAATAAATGAGAATTCCCACCAGACCTCTAACAAAAACATAGTCAAGTTGTAAACTTCAGAAATAAGAAACTTAATTCTCTAGGAGAAAATTGTGGAGACAAAACTAGCATTTTATGGACTAAAGGTGTATAACACCAAAACCAAACTAAACATTTTTGAGGCTACCTTCAGTGATAACAAATTATTGAATTTTCTGCCAAAGGAAAGACTTATAGAACCTGCAAGACTCAGATTTAACAGAAAACAAATCAGTATTATTGGACATTAATGATTTTTGAGTCTTTGAGATGGATTTTATAGTCAAAGACAGTGATTCTGTCTTACTCACATTGAATCATGTAGAAAGGAGAAATTTTGAAATTGGCATTTCCCACACAATTTATTGCCTACAACTGAAGGCAAGCACTGGTCTCCCTTGGTATCTCAACTTCACCTTCACTATTTCTACATAAGAGCAGAACTCCTTTAACAAGTTTTGTGTGTGAAATCAGAACTGTGCTATAGGGAAGAAGCTCTTCAGATCCTTCCTGCTGCCACTTTCTTCCTGATCCTGTAGATATGCTTTAATATGTACAGTATTGTCTTTGTTTATATTCACCCTAATAATCTACTTGATGTAATATACACATGACTGTATTGTTATTTTTAGCAGACAGGCAGAGCTTTTTTCTGACACTGAATATAAAGATAATACATTATCCAAGAATTAATTGCTCTCTCCTCTGTGCTCCCATGGCCAAGGGTATTTCTGTTCTAACATATGTAATATAAGTTGCCTTATATAGCTAATCAAACCACAAATGGCTCCCTAGATTATATTCCTTGAGGAAAGAGAGTGTCTCTATCGTCACTGTATCTCCCAAGGTCCTTGGTGTAGTACCTGGTAGTGCCAAGGGACAGCTTGTGAATGTTGCAGTGTCCCATTCTCAGCCATCCCAAATAAACACGTAATCCAAGGGACACTGCACTGAGCAAACACAGTCTCAGGACAAGTTCTCTAGCCTATTCCTCTTCACCCTCCAATCTGACTGCATAACCTAAGGGTCCTTCCTGAATAGAAATTGAGCTGCCTATCATTTAGGAGAAGGGAATAGGGAGGAGGAGAAGAGGGTCAGGAGAGAAAGAGGAGAAAGAAAGATGGTTAACATTTTTTGAGCCCCATATGCTTGGAATCACATTAAATACATGCTTTATCCCATTTAATCCTATCAACAGCCCTGAAAGGAAAATACTATTATTGTGCTATTTTTCAGCCTAGAAAATTGAAAAGGATAAGCAACTGCCTAGAGTCAACAGTAAGAAGCAAACACTCAGAAATTATTAGAGGATTGAATAAATGAATCACTATAAATAAATATCACTAAACATCACCTTTCCTTGAACTTCCATGGAGCAGTTGAGAGCAAGAGTGGGATAAAAGCAGTCCATCATTTGACTCCATAGCATTTCAGGCACACACACATACATCTGCCTATCAGATTGGAGTAAATGTTCAGTGTGCTTAGCCAAGGATTCAAAAGATTATTGTAAGTATGGCAGCTACACAAACAGGGGCAGATCCAGCATAGCTCAGTATAGCTTCTCATGGTTTCTTGGAACTGCTAAAGGAGGACACAGCCAGGTGTTGGAGACAGCAGAAAGTAAACTCTAACAGAACCTGGAAAACACAGTTTTTGCTACACTACAGTCTTCCCAGGATTCCAGACAAACTTCAACTAACAAGCTGTGTGCCTACGTTAAGGGAATGTTTACAAATATTGAGTTCCTCTGGTTATTGAATCAAATTACACCTTAGCAAGGCCACATGCTCCTCCACAAAGAGAAACCAATTAAAGAAACAAGAGAGAAACACAGTGCTCGTGTGCCTCTAAACAATCTCTTGGCTCCAACTTCCCCAGCTGGGGTAGCTAGCTCCCTGCATAGTTAATAAACCTCAAAAAACAATTTTAGTCTAGTATTTCTAAAAGTGTGTGCTACCACCCCCTGTGTTGAAATTTCCTGGCACATTTGTTGGAAAAGCTTGTGCCTCACCCACCTGGGACCTATTGAATCAGAATATCAAGGATTGGAAAAGAAATCAGCATTGGTAACGAGCTCCCAGTGCTGACCCTGCTCACTAACATTTCAGCATGGCAATGTTAAGGGAAGGGTGCTCCCCGCTTTCAAGGCAAGTCTCATTTATGTGAGAATAATCTTCCATTTAAGACATTGAAAACCCGTTACTATTGCAAACTTTGCATTCCAGCGCCTGGCTTTGTAGAAGGAGCCGAGGACCTGAAGTTACAAGCTTTCTTTAAATTGTACTCATTAAACTGCATGTTAATCATGGATCAGGGATTGCACATTATACAACCCATTAAGCTTTTGTATGTTCCTGGATGACTGTGTATTGTATAAAAATACAAATGATCCAGCGGATAAAATAATTGGCTATAAGGAAAAGCAAAATTAATTAGGAATGACCACGCTGCTTACCCAGTTGACCTAAGTCATTAGCAGATGTAAAGAACTGCATAAAAATAAGATGTATTTTGGCTTCTACAAAGTGCTCCACAAGCATCACTATAGTCCCAGGATCTCTTTGCCAGCCTGGAGGATAAATAGAGGAGACAGTATATGTATGTGAGGCCAATGGTGGTCCTCTAGAGAAAGATTCACTGTGAATCCATGATAAGAACATAATCTGTTATGAGAACCTGAATTTATCATAGAGCAGGAAGAAAACTGTTTACCATTTTCAGTTAAATTAACTCCTCTGTACCAAGACCACCAAAAAGTCTTCTGATTTAGCTAAGTAGTGACTTACTAAATGAGCATTTTCACCCGTGTGTTCCATAGAACACCAGCCCTAAGAGATTTTGGCAGGGAGGTGGAAAAAGGTGTGGAAATGGAGCTTCTGGAGCAATAATTTTGGAAAATGCCACATTCTTGAGCACCTTTTAGAAAATAACAATTGAAACTAGAATTTTAAGGTTGTGAAAGTCCAGCAGTAATGAAACCCAGTTCAGTTCTGCATTAGTCAGTGACCTTGGCTTCAGGCAGCAGGACAAACTTTGCCTACCCTAAGGAGAAAAGGGAATCAGAGAGCGGATATGAAGTAGCTTCCAGAATAGATGAAAGGTTGGAAACCAAGGATGTTAAACACAGAAAAACACCGAAACAATCTGGCTTGGGCACTGCCACAGCCACCACAAGTCATCTCATTTATTCTTTTGACTTTGTGTCATCTCCCAGATGAACCATCTCAGGACAAAGCATTTGGACAGACAAGCCCAGATATGAAGACTGTTCTCTGACTAACAAGGGCAAAGAAAATTATTGTCTAACCTGTCAAATTCCTTACAGGGGATAATGAAGAGCCTCACTTCAGGACATGCACATAGATAGTTCCCTCCCCCGGACTCACATGCCCAGTGATAATTTTCTAGCTCAACTTTGCTTAACCTAGCTTTCCCCAAAATTATTCTGCCACTATTTCTTCGCCTATTAATAGTAGAACACACTTTTGGAAATAGGGTAAATAATAGTAAATGGGCATAAGTGGTTTACATATCTATGGGGTATGTGATGAATATGTATCATATACAATTAGTACATCCCATCATTAGCATGGTTAATTTTAAACGTATACTGAGCTGTCATTTATGTTTGCAATAGTATTCTGAACAGGTCACCCTGGGAAGGAATAGGTTCTGAGGCAAGTCTACTAAATTTTCCTATTCCCCCAACTTTTTTCATCTACATGAATTTTGCTCAAAATAAATCCCAAGGGCAGTCTTGATGGGGAGAAGTTAATGAGAGGGCAACCTGCAGTCTCTGTGTGTGTTGAAGGGAATCAGTACCTCATGGTTTCAGTAACAGTGGGGAAGAGGGTAATTTAGTTGATTTTCTCTCCATAAATACAATTGCAATAATCTATAGGGCACTTTATATTTCACAGCATGCTTCCACCCACCTTACCTCTTTGAAAATGAAATCTCTGGGCTAGTAGTTCTCATATGAGCCCAGGATTCTTTCAACTCCAGCCTGCAGACCAGCCTTCCCCTGGCTCAGCAGCAGGCTGCCTCCCTGAGTCACTACCTAGAAGTGTCACCACAACAAAATCATATTTTAGGTTTTACATGATGCTAACTGAGGGAAAGAGGTTTCTCTATGACCTGGCAGCATTGAGGCTTCTGTTGTTTGTGTCTCTAGTTTTCCCACACTTTGGAGTCCAGAGGATTCACAGTCAAATTAATCCCCAGGGAGTAAATGAGCTCAGTGCAGGGGAAATGAGGACCACTAGGGATGCAGCTGGCCCACACGTGACAGAGAGGAGCAAACCTGGGTCTCACAAGCCTGAATGTTAGAGTCATCCAACTGCTTACAACCCTGAGAGGCGAGATATCCAGCATATTTGTGCTGCCTTAACAGTGCCTAAAAGAGGCCTGGGCTAGGTCAACCCCTGCCTGCTTCTCTCTGTGCTCAGCCCACGTCAGGCACTAAAGGCCTGACCCTTGCAGCCCCGCTGTGCCTGCACAGTGAGTACCTGGTCAGGCAGCATGCTAGCTGCTCCTACTCACCAATGATCAGGGCCCAGATAGTCCACATTCATTTATTGGCCTCAGCTCCAACATTGAACCTGACTAGTCAGTCAGGCAGGTGGTTGCTAGGAAGCTGCTGCTTCCACTCCAGTTTCCCAACCAGATGAGACATAAGTCCCATGCCCAAGTCTCTGGGGTTGACCCATGTTTCCTGTCCTTCTCATTAACTCTAATGAACCTCTCTGTCAGATAGAATTAGACGTGGCTGCACCTAATAGAAAACCCAGAATAAAGTGGGTTAAAACCAGAAGCTTTGTTTCTTTAGGAAGAAGTCCAAAGGTAAGTGGTCCAACACTGGTAAACTGACTTCACAAAATCATTTGAGGAACCTTGGAAAAGACAGGAGAACTCTTTATCTTTCTGCTCTTCAAAGACTCTCATGATCTAAAATAGCCCCTAGAGCTCCAGCCACCACATCCACATTTCAAGCAGCAGGAAAAGAGAAAGAGGGAAGACACAAAGGACTTTCTCTAGCTGCCAACTCTTCTCTCAATGAAAATTTCCAAAATTCCTTCATAATCTTGACTTTATTTCAACAATTAGACATATTGCCATAAACAGCTTTAAGGGAGGCTAGAAAACACAGTTTTATTGTTGAATACATTGTTACCCCCAACAACATAGGGTTTTTTTTAGTGTATCTGTGTATTAAGTTCACATTAATGTAGGTGGTTCAAGGCTGATTTGGTGGTTCCACAATTACTGAGGTCTCAGGTTCCTTTTACCTTTTGGTTGTACCATCCTCATCATGGGACTTCTACGTTGTGTTACTCAGTTTGGGCTGCCATAACAGAATACCGTGAACTGGGTGGCTTAAACAACAGATACTTATTTCTCAAAGTTCTGGAAGCTGGAAAGTCCAAGATCAATGTACTAGCAGATTCAGTTCTTGGTAGAGCCCTCTTCCTCGCTTGCAGATGGTCACCATCTTGTTGTATACTCACATAATCTCTTTGTGTGTGCACAGAGAAAGAGAATGAGCTCTGATATGATATGTCTTCCTTTTCCTATAAGTACACCAGCCCCATGATGGGGGCTTCATCCTCATGACCTTATCTAAACCTAATAACTTCCCAAAGTCATGTCCTAATCCCATCACTGTGGGGGTAGGGCTTCAAACTATGAATTTTAGGGGACACAAACGTTTAATCCATAACACACTTCAGAGTCTATAATGGCTGCTCCTATTCCAGCATTCACATCTATAATCCAACTAGGTAGAAGTAAAGGCTGGAGACTTTAAAAGTTCTTAAACTTCTTAAAAGTTTTGTTCATCACTGCTTAGATTGCATTAACTAGAACTTATTCACATGGTCACATCTAGCTGAAAATTAGACTGAGAAATACATTCTGGGTAGCCATGTACCAGCTAATTTTGGGAATTATAAATCTTTTTTTTTGTTTTGTTTTTAGTATCCAAAATGTGTTTGGGATGGTTTCCCATTCATCTTTTTTTTTTAAAAAACTGCAGTATAGTCAGTTTGCGATGTGTCAATTCCCGGTGTGCAGCATAATGTTTCAGTCATACATATACCTACGTATATTTGTTTTCATATTCTTTTTCATTATGGGTTACTACAAGATATTGAATATAGTTCCCTGTGCTATACAGTAGAAACTTGTTTATTTTATATATAGTAGTTAATATTTGCAAATATTGAACTCCTAGTTTATCCCTTCCTTCCCTCTCTCCCCCCTGGTAACCATAAGTTTGTTTTCTATGTCTGTGAGTCTGTTTCTGTTTTCCCATTCATCTTGATTCAGGGTGCTTTTAGTGCTGCTTCCAGCTTAAGGAGCATCCTTTTTTAAGTCTTGCTTTTCCTCCTGTAAGCTGGCAGAGGACAGTGGAGCAAACAACAAACAAAACTACTGTTTGTGCATGGCTAAAGGTGGTGGTGATTTTACAGCATCCTGGGCATTTCACATCCATGAAATAGGAACAGGGGCTCTGCACCAGGTACTTTTCTTGTGTTTCCTCTTCTCCTTCTCTGGAGAGGGATGAATGAGATCCTTTGCAAGAGACGTGTTCTCATGGAGAGGTTGTCACTCCCAGAAAGTTGGAATTCTAATTCTTGAGGGTGGGAAAAATGAATATTGGAGACATGTATCCATTTTTATCACCACTTGCAAGTAAGAAAGATAAAATAGATGTTAGATAAGCAAATAACAATACCCACTATAACCTCCCTAATTCCACTGGGGAGACCTACTAGATGCTGAGAGCTGCCTTGGCTGAGAAGCTCTGTCACAGCTCTGACCCCTGGTTTGGATCGCTTGGGTCTAATTCTTATTGGGTTGGACTAGATTTTGCTTCTTCCTCTTGGGTCTGAAATTATGGTGTCACCTTAGAGCTGACCAATCATTCCATCTTAACTGTCCCAGCTCCCCATCCCCCCACCCCCACCCCAAGTATGCTTATAGTATACAGGTTTGGCCAATTTTAGCAAAACAAAACAAAAACAAAGAATTGTTGGTTACTTAAATTCTTTTTTCCTACCGATTTCTCTCATAAAGGAGGTTTAGTATCATGAGAGTGCCTCTTTTTAAATTGACTTTAACAGAACCAGATGGATTTGTCTTTGTAAACAGAAGCATGTGAATAAATGAGAGTGAATGAAGTGAGGTTTTGGCTTTAGCTCAACCACTGAGCATTTTATACGTGTCCTCTGCATGATAATACAGGAAGAAATTCACCAGTTTTGACCAATAAAAATTTCGAGTTCAGCCCACCATCTTGAAATAAAAAATTAGCCATTTTCGAATAAGGCATACCAAGAGTAACAGTTCTTTGTCAAGTTCAGGGACATTTTATAGAAGTTTAGAAGTTATAAGCCTGTCTGTTGGTCCTGCATGGAGTCAACAGATCTTAGCACATTAGACTCAGGAAAGGTTATGATACTATCATAATGGTACCTGAGTTCACACCATCCTCAATACATGTATTGAGAATATTGACTTCACAATGTACTGATGAGAATACTGTACACAGTGTGCTGATGAGAATACACACATGTACTGATGAGAGTACTGACTTCTCTAATAAAGATATCATCATTCAGTTGTTCAAAGATTAAGTGACCACTTATGATGAAGAAGCTAGCACTATGTTTGGCCCACAGAATACCATCAGTAAATATCCTCTGAATCTGAATTTATATGGAGAAAAATTTTCAGTGCTATACTAATTAAATACAGTGCATGTCACTCTTTTTTAAAAATGAACTTAAATCTCATTCTGAATTTCCCATTTTAGAAAAATATTTTCAAATCTCTGTAACTAGTATTTAGCACAATGAGCTAGTCAGTTATTTTTCATTAAAAAATATAAAAGCTTGTATTGAAAATTATATCCATAAAGTCCATTTAGTTTTACAACTTAATTATATGTAGTAAAACTTTACTGCCACATTTAACAGGTATTAACCTAATTCTTTTTAAGCAAAAGCAATATGTGACTGGAAGTGAACCCTAAGGTAAGGGGAAAAAAAGAACTCCCTTAAAATATTTCCTTAATATTTATTTTTCAAGAAAGGTCAACTCAGCTAATGCATGAGTTTGCTTAATGTCTCATTTGTGTTATCTCAATATTTTTAGTAAAACAAATTTGTTACTATGGTGTTCAGTTTCAGCATTACCATGAAATAGGCCAATATCAGGAAGACAAAACCAATTGTGAGTTTTGCAATAACAAATTTTAGTCAATTGAGTTTATACTTTGGTTAAAACAATTTTTTAAAACTCAGTGAATAATTGGGAAATATGAGTCTTTGAGATATCTCTTACTGTATTCTAGAGGACTTATCTATTTCTTTTATAATAAAGCCAAGCAAGAAAATGGTTCTACCTGAGTGCTGAAAATACATTACTTTTAATCTTCATATACTTCAGAGTGAAATCTCACCAGAATTTCTACCTTTATTTAATGTGTTCCTGTATAAAATAAAATATTCTTTGAAGTTCTCAATAAAAATCCATGAGACACCATTAGATCCTTAAAATATGTTTCATATAGAATATTTACAACTCATAGCTTCAGAAGGTGCCAGCATACCTGTGCATGAGCAATAATATGGACTTCTTGAGTGATCATCTGAAATTCAATTTTACTTCACAACTATTTATTGACTAGTGTATAATCAGAGATAACAAGTTTATTTAATGAATGAAATCCACACTTCATATCAGCATCACCAACTATCATTGGTAGAGTTCCTCACTAGATATTCAACCATATATTAAGTTCTAGAGATACAAAAATATGTAAAGTACAGCTCCAAGAAGTTTGTATTATTGTTCTTGATGTTGATAATGCCAGCATATCACATTTGTATAGTGCTTTTAAAATTAAAAAATATACTTATATCCATTATTTCACTTAACACCCTCAATATCCTTCTAAGGTAGTTGTAGAACAGGTAAAACCATTTCCATTCTACAGATTAAGTGAGCCTCCGCAATTAGGCAACCTGCCCAGGGTCACAAAGCTAGACTGACAGCAGAAGTAAGATTAGAACTACATTTGTATCTAAGGATTTTGACACTTAATTAACTTCTTCAAAACATTTATTTAGGAAGTTTAGACATATTTATAAAACAAGACAGCATGGTAGATGCAGAGACCAAATGGCCAATTTAAAACACACTAAGGAAGCTGTGGGAAGAGAACTTTAGATTTGGAGCCTCTCTTCACAGCCTTCAAGAAGAAGAAGGTTAATTTGAACTGGTTGTGAAGGCAGGTTAAGGTGCATAAAAGCAGGAAAGAACTAGGAAGGCACTGCAGGCAGAGTATGCTTGATCCGGAACGTGCTGCTTGAAATACTGTCCTCCCTGGAATACAGTAAGCTAAGGGTATTCATACTTTAAGCAACCCTAACTCCATAATGTCTAACACAGGCCCCCTGAGCATTTTAAATTGGCCACACCTCAGCCTCTTTCCATGACAGGCTCTCAATTTATTTTGGTGAATGGAGAAATGAATGAATGTAGGAATAGACTAAATGAGTGGACAAACAAATATTCACTCAAGGATTGGAAAATCCCAAGGACTCAAGGATTTGGAAATCCATCACATCTCTGAATGACTCAGTTAATTCATGCATTCCTTTATACATCAACTGTATACATGAGTGGTTTGCAAACAGGAATGATTTTGCCCCCCAGGGCATATCTGGAGACATTTTTTATTGTTGTTGTCACAGCTACGAAAGTACTACTGGCATATTTTGAGAATAGGCCAAGGATGAAGCTAAACATCCTACAATACACAGGAATGCACAGAAGAGCCCCCGATAATAAAGAGTTATCCCTTCCAGAATTTCACTAGTGCTTAGGTTGAGAAATCTTGCTTTATAATAAGTGCTAGTGAAGATTTTAGTTTAGTGATGGAGACAGATGTTTCAAATATGTAAACAAATAGATAATTATGGATAATAAATAATAATTATAAAATGGTAAGTACTGTGGAAAAAACTGGGAAATATCATGGAAGAAATTGTTGGGAAATTCTGGATACCTTTCCTGCTCACAAGCAGGAAAGGATAACTGGTCATTTCCAGAGGACAGCATTCTGGAAAATCTCGGGCAGACCAATTAGAAACCCAAACACACCAGAAACCCAGGATAAATTAGGTACCCCTCTGGAAAAAATTCAGTGCCTAAGGCAGTTGTTCTGCTATTTTGCCTCTGAAATGTGGCATCACCTCCAACAACACTGTCAGCATAAAGAAATTAAAAATAAATAGGATAGTATTTGAGACTCAATGAGAAATTCCCATTTTCTTTAAAATGCAAAGACAAATTTTTTTAAAAATAGAAAACTATTTTGGTTTAAAAAGAGATCTAGTATCTGTCCAGGCCCCCTTTCTTGGGGGAGTCAGCACTTCTCCACTCCTGATTCCAGGAGACTGATAATTGGGGGCCCTCTCATCTCTGCCACTAGTGGGGCCCACGTGGCCCAAGCTGGACCAGTCAAACTCTCTTCTGGGCACTCAGAAGGAAGGTCAATGAAGCAAACTCATTTGACATCTTACTCTGGAGAACTTGCATTCCTACCACCGTGAGTCCCAGGGCTAGTGTGACACTTGCTTTCCATAGGCCTTGATTCTTCCATCCTTGGCTCCTGGGAGAAACTCCAGTATTCTCCTGATAATTCCTTTTCTTCAGACCTTCTCGATTAAAACCCTAGCTTCACCACTTACAAGGTGAGCAAGCTTACAAAATCACTTAACATCTCTGTGCCTTAGTTTTCTCATTTGAAAAACAGGGATAATAAAAGAATCTATCTCCCAAAGTTGTGGGGAATAAATGAAATAGTATATGTAGAACTCTGAAAAAAATTCCCTGGAACAGGGTAAATTGTCATCTTTGCTTGAACCAAAGAACCCCAGCTGATTAGTTTGGTATTTTGTTTTAGGAATGGATAGTGACTCAAAGAGGGAAGTAGAAGAACCAGAGCCTTCTTTTTCCTAATTGCTCATCTATCCTTCCAACCCCAGTTCTCATCACAAGTGCTCCTAAAGCCTTCGCTGATTGTTTCTATGTAGGGTCACCTCTTGATAGATGCTGTTGCCTGAAATGACCAACATTTATTCAGTATGCATTGTCTTTGACTGCTAGTGTCTTTTCCTAGACTGTCAGGCCCTATGAAGGCAGAACCACACGTGGTATTTCTTTCTTTCACACTGACAAGTGAATACTCAGTTAGGAATTGTCAAATGAATAACTATGGAAGCCAATCTCCAAGATGCCCACCAATTCTCACCTCTTGGTGATCATGCCATTGTATAGTCCTCTTCCACAGTGAAGAGGCTGGCTTGTATATCTAATAAGGTATTGTGTAAATGAAGGTTTATGACCTCTAAGGCCAAATCCATATAAGATGTTTGAGTTCCTGCCTTACTCTCTCATAGAGCACTCTGTTTAGGAGAAGCCGGCCACAGTGTCGATAACACTCTAGGAGCCTTATAGAGAAGTCCGCATGGTAAAGAATTAAGTCTCTTACCTACAGTCAGCACTTTTTTGCCACTTTG